GCATCTTATAGTTCGAGAAAATGCGATGTTTATTTTTAGAGTGAGAGGATGGGAGAAAGACAGGGAAACATCAACATGTGTGAGAAACATGAACCAGTTGCCTCTTGCATGTGGCCCATGGGGACTGGTCTGTACCCTGATGGGGAATTGAATTTGTGGCTTTTTACTTTGTGGGACAATGCTCAACCAATTAAGCCATGCCAGTCAGTCCTGTATTTCTGTATTTTTTTTTATTGATTATGCTGTTACAGTTGTTCTATTCCCCCTTTATTCCCCTCCTATAAAGTTTGCTTTAAAAGCAGCACTGACAAAACCTTAACTAATTTTTAAGAATCAGGAGGGGCTGTTTGGTTGTGTTTGGGAAACCTTGCTTTAAAATAAATAAAAGAAAACCCCCAAGCTTTCCAAGACTACCAACATGCTTCACAATAGTCCATCTTCTCTTTGGTAGGCACTGATGCTTAATCTTTTTGGAGTCATGAATTCTTACGAGGAGTTAGTGAGAGCTATATAAAAATACATAGAAATACACACACAAAATTTTGCATACACTAACATACTCCACATCCAACCAAAAACACCCAAACCCTTTTGGAGATCCCGGGTTGTGAAGCCCTACCTTCAGCTGATAGAAGGAAAAGAGAAGATTCACAAGAATCTTTCCTTTATATGTAGTATATCAGATACTACATATAAATTTAAAACTTAATATAACCATTTAAAATAGGCATTAATAGCTCTATATTATAAATAATAAAAGCTTGTACTTGAATTTGGTTTTGATTCTATACCCATGCTCTTTCTATTACTTCTGAAGAACTAACTCAGAGGGTAGTAATGTATTCAATATCCTATGCTAAAGTAAATGTTGAACAAAGAAATACCTATCCATCACCAGCAGTTATTATAAGTATGCAGACAACTTTCCTCAGAAATCAGACCATATTCTGCTATAAACAAGATACATAGGATCTAAACCACTTATATATAAGAGGAAGTACATATTGTGAGTAAAATCATTTTAGTACAAAACCTCATCATTAGACCTCCACCAAGATGGAAGCGTAGGTGGAAGCACTGCACCTTCTTGCACAACCAAGTTTAAAAACAACAAAGTTTTAGCTACAAAAACACAGCCAAACCACAGAAAATTCAACTACATGGAAGTCTGACAACAACGAACCCTTCAGCCAAACCAGTAAGAGGGGCAGAGCCAGCAGCAGAGTGGGGTCAGGTAGGAAAGATCCACCGGACTCACCCAGGTGCCCAACCCAGGCATGCCAGCAGCGATATGCGGATCCCAGGTGTGGAGTAGTGGGCAGACCCACTGAGGGTGCAAGGCAGTGGACTCACTGAGGGCTGACCTCTGTCACACATTCGAGTGCAGATAAACTGGTGAAGGAGCCAGCAGTGAGATGGACCGCGCAGGCCCCAGTGGCCGGAAGTGGCAAAAGGGACTGCCATTGTCCCTTTCTGACCCCGCCCCCACATACAGCATCACAAACCAGTGACCTGGGTGGCCCCACCCTGGTGAACACTTAAGGCTCCATTCCTCATACCTAACAGGCACGAACAGATCAAAACATGGCTCAAAAACAACTCAGAGCCCCAGAGCTAATAAGTCTAAGTGACCAAGAAATAGCCAAACTTTCAGATGCACAGTTCAAAACACTGGTGATCAGGATGCTCACAGAACTGGTTGATTTTAGTCACAAATTAGAGGGAACACATGAAGCCTAAACTAACTGAATTGTAGGGAAATGCACAGGAAACCAATGGTAATGGAAAGGCAACTGGGACTCAAATCAAAAGAGTGGACCAGAAGCAGGAAAAAAATGACCAAACAGAAAAGGATGAAGAAACAAGAATTCAAAAAACTGAGGAGAGGCTTAGGAACCTCCAGGACATCTTTAAATGTTACAACATCCGAATTATAGGGGTACCAGAGGGGAAGAGGAACAGCCACCAGTGGAAAACTTATTTGAACAAATAATAAAGGAGAATTTCCCCAATCTGGCAAAGGAAACAGACTTCCAGGAAATCCAGGAAGTTCAGAGAGTCCCAAAGAAGTTGGACCCAAGAAGGAACACACCAAGCCACATCATCATTACATTAGCCAAGATTAAAATGAAGGAGAGAATCCTAGAAGCAGCAAGAGATATGGGGACAGTCACCTACAAAGGAGTTCCCATCAGACTGTCAGCTGATTTCTCAAAAGACACCTTACAAGCAAGAAGGGGCTGGGAAGAAGTACTCCAAGTCATGAAATCCAAAGACCTACATCCAAGATTGCTCTATCCAGCAAAGTTTTCATTTAGAATGGAAGAACAGATAAAGTGCTTCTCAGATAAGGTGAAATTCAAGGAGTTCATCATCAACAAGCCCTTAGTATATGAAATGTTTGTTGGGAACCTTACACCTGGCTTCTAGCTAAAAACATTGCATTGATTACAGGAACCTGTGCGCTCCACGAGCCAATGGGCTACAGGTACATGAGGTGTGCATGCGCTCCACAAGCCAATCAGCTACAGGCACATGAGGTGTCCACGAGTACCCGTTGCACCCAAGTAATCAATAAGCGGGCCCTTCTTTGTCTCAAGCTAGCCAATAGCAAGCAACCTAATATCCTTCCTCTCCCTCCCCCCCTATATATATACCCAGTTCGGAAAAATAAAGTTTGCAGCTTGATCAGAATATTTTGTCTTGCTGCCATTCTTCGCGCCTCTTGTCCCCCCAACTCATTTGTTCTAGGTAGGTGGTCGAGCCCCAGTTGATTGCTCCGCGGGCCGGAGAAAATGTTAAAGGGACTTATCTAAGAAAAAGAAGATAAAAAAGATGAACAGTGAAAGAACAGCAAACTCACAGTTATTAACTACACCTAAAACAAAAGCAAACTAAAAGGACAGCTAGATCAGGAACAGAACCATAGAAATGCAGATCACATGGAGGGTTAGCAACAGGGGAGTGGGGGGAGAGGAGAAGGGGGAAGAAGGTACAGAAAATAAGCAGCATAGATGGTAGGTAGAAAATAGATAGGGGGGAGGGCAAGAATAGTATGGGAAATATAGAATCTAAGGAACCTGAGACACGTGGTCATAAACTAAAGGGGGGAATGGTGGGGGAGGGTGTGCAGGGTGGAGGGGAATGAAGGGGGGAATAGAACAACTGTAATGGCATAATTAATAAAATATATTTTTAAAAAAACCTCACCATTAGCAATGACTATTTTTATTTATTTTTAGTTTTTTAACTTTTAAAAAAAATTTTATTTATTTATCCTGGGGAGGGGAGGGGAGGGGGAGGGGGAGGGGAGGGGAGGGGAGGGGGGGGGGGGGGGGGGGGGGAGGGGAGGGGAGGGGAGGGGGGGGGAGGGGAGGGGAGGGGAGGGAAGGGAAGGGAAGGGAAGGGAAGGGAAGGGAAGGGAAGGGAAGGGAAGGGAAGGGAAGGGAAGGGAAGGGAAGGGAAGGGAAGGGAAGGGAAGGGGAGAAATATCAATGTACGGTTGCTTCTTGTGTATCCCTTGCTGGGAACTGGCCCCTGCTGGGAACTGGCCTGCAACCCAGGCATGTGCCCTGACTGGGAATCGAACTGTGATCAATCATCCTAGAGCCCTTTAGAAGTTAGCTGTGCAAAATAAATACAGCATTGTTTCAAGTAAAGAGATCTAAATAAAAATCTTTTTTCAATCAAACTTCTGAAAGTTCTTGAGGTCAGCAAAAACAGGTCTCTTTATTTCAGAGAAGGGAAAAATAAGGCTCAGGGTAGACTAATCAACTTAGTTAAGATCCATCTAGTTACATAATTTTTTCATGAATTAGTACAATGCCCATTTTTCCTGACTTATAACTCATTAATAGTTGATTTTACCAATAAAACTTTCCAAGCCACAATATATTTCTATGATCCTGTATAGAATAACAACCACTGAAAATCTGTGGATGCCACAGCAATCTGAGGAACAAACAGCCTGCATCATTATGGTTTCTGGTAACATGCAGAAAGCAAATTTGAAGCCAATGGAATTAACAGTAAAAATCAAGTGATTTCACACAGGAATATTCAAAAATTTCAGCCAAAATATTCAGCCAATTTTCTCTGCCTAAATCCATTGTTGTACTTAACGTATGCATACAATTGAAATGTTCACGTAGGCAAATATGGTGTTTACAACCTGAAATTAGCTTTTGTGTAGAGTGATTAAGTTGTGGTCAACATGTAATCTAAAATCCACTTAACATCTTTAATAGACAGAGTAAAAGGAATTAAGAAAAGTTAGTTATTATATTTGGTTAGCTGATAAGAAAGAGGACACAATTTTTAAGATATTAACTTGCTTTATGAGGAACAAAAGGAATTATTACTTGTATAAAATTATTAACTTAGCAAAAACTTGGTGATTGACAGAGTTGACCTGGGGTGGTGAACACACAATATACTGTACGAAGTATATTGTAGAACTGTGCACATGAATCCTTGTTAATTGTTAATCAGTGTCACCCCAATTAATTCAATAAAGAGAGAAAAAAGCTTTCAACACATATTAGTGAACTGGATTCTCACAACCATCCTAACAGTTAGGTGGTTTTATAATCATTTTGAGATCTTTGAGCCTCAATTTCTTCTCTATTGTTTTGTCTATGGCCACAGTGTTGGTAAATAGGAAGGTAAGATTCAAATCAACTTTTCCTAACCACAAATCTAGTATTCTTTCTGCCATTCCACTAGAAGCAGGAACCTGGACATCCCTCATTTAAAATATTTGCCGTAATTTTGCAAATACAAATATATACATGGTAATATTATCACTTACATCTCCAACAAGCCTCAAAGCCTATTTCAGGCTTATGAAATTGGCTGTTTTTAAAGAACATATAAAGACTAAAGTCAAACTTCATGGAATATGTATATTAATTACATACATATTAATTTTTACATACAGATTAATTTTTAATCAAGAAATTCAAATATTGTCACCATATATCGTTGAGAATTCTACTTACTCGTTTTGAAGGACAGTGTTCATGCTTTTCATCTGTCATCTTTGCACTTTTAAGTGCTTTTCTTGGGTGCTTGATTGTTGCTTTTATGGCAGGTCGACATACATAGTTCTCCAAGTTCTTTGGAGGTTTTTTAGTTCTCTTAGCCTGAAGGCCAATTTTCAATTTTAAATTTCCTTCTGAAAAGTTTGTTTCTTTCACTGAAAACTGTTGCTGTGCATCAGTCAAACCATCATCTTTCCCTGCTTCAATGCTTCTTTCCCGATTCCACTTGCGAAGGCCCTCTTCCTCTTTTGTGTTGTTTTCTAGCTCTTCTTCTCTCTTGCTTACCAGTGTGCCAATACTGACAGCAGAGGGGCTCTTTCTTGAAAATCCTTCGGAATCAGAACCCAATCCTAACATAGCAGTATTTCTAGGGTCCATCACAAGAGTATGTTATTGCCAAGGAATTTTATGAATATTTTACAAAACTGTGTTCCATAGAAAACAGAAATCTCCAAAACTTGCAACCAGCATCTCTGTCTCTGCAGGATAGACAACAAAAATTTATCAGATTAGAAGTAACTAATGATTAACATGAGAAATGGGTACAGGGAAAGGGGGACAAAAAGGTCAGGAAGAACCCAAAATTACACTTCAAACAAATCAAAATACAGTTCAAATAGAATTTAAATTCATTTAGTTATGAAAGATTTAAAATTTCTGAGTAAGTTTATCATTCTACAGATATTATAAACAAGCTGTACTAGCATGGTAAAAATCAATGTTTAAGAACCACTACTATAACTCACCCAAAAATCTTTTATAAACACAAACCTAAGATAAAAATAATTTCATATATTTAGCTCTCCTCAGTAGTAAACATTATATTGAAACAAAACATTTCACTATTTTTTTAAAAGATTTTACTTATTTATTTTTAAAGAGGAGAAAGGGAAGAAAGGGAGAGAAAACATCAATGTGTAAGAGATACTGGTACAAAAGACAAAAAAAAAAAAAAAAAAAAAGAGATACTGGTACATAGACTGGCTGCCTCTTGCACACCCCCAAATGGAGACCCAGCCCACAACCCAGGCATGTGCCCTGGCTAGGAATCAATCCAGCAACCCTTCAGTTCACAGGACAGTGCTCAGTCGACTGAGCCACACCAGCCGGGGAACATTTCACTATTCTTGAGTATTGCTAGCCTAACTCTTTTTCAAGCATGTATCCAAAATAAGATCCAGGACTAATATCTGGAAAAAGAATACCCTATTCCTTAAAAAGGTCCATTTATGAAACAGAGTATTTTATAGTTTAAACTATGTGCCTTAAGACTTTTCTTTCCAACAAGATTGTAAGATTCTCAAGGACAAACCATAAAATTGTTTTGGAACTCTAACAAGGAATGTAAGTAAAATGTATACCCCAATTGCCTGGCACATAGCATGGCTCAATATAAGGTATCAACAATTTATTGTAGCAGCAGCAGTAGTAGCAGTAGCTTTTTAAGTAGTTACTAAACAAATATTGGCCAGTTGACTAAAACTTGTAACTTATTCCCACTTTATTCATTCATATCAAGCAGCTGAAAGAGTAATCCTGCAATCAGGTCATTCTGACAATTCTCGCTTTCTACCACTTTATATATTAATATTCCACAATAACACTCAAGGCTTTTCCTAAACTGGCTCTTATTACTCAAACTCATTTATCCTTCCTCACCAACACACAAGCCCTATAATTTAGTATATTCAGTTTTCTTTACTATCTCTAAAATCGTGTTCATTTCTACTTCTGTGCCACCTGTTTTTATTTTTTAATATATTTTATCAATTATGCCATTACAGTTGTTCTATTCCCCCCTTCATTCCCCTCTACCCTGCACACCCTCCCCTACCATTCCCCCCTTTAGTTTATGACCACGTGTCTCAGGTTCCTTAGATTCTATGTTTCCCATACTATTCTTGCCCTCCCCCCTATCTATTTTCTACCTACCATCTATGCTGCTTATTTTCTGTACCTTCTCCCCCCTTCTCCTCTCCCCCTACTCCCCTGTTGCTAACCCTCCATGTGATCTTCATTTCTATGATTCTGCTCCTGATCTAGCTGTCCTTTTAGTTTGCTTTTGTTTTAGGTGTGGTTAATAACTGTGAGTTTGCTGTTCTTTCACTGTTCATCTTTTTTATCTTCTTTTTCTTAGATAAGTCCCTTTAACATTTCATATAATAAGGGCTTGGTGATGATGAACTCCTTGAATTTCACCTTATCTGAGAAGCACTTTATCTGTTCTTCCATTCTAAATGAAAACTTTGCTCGATAGAGCAATCTTGGATGTAGGTCTTTGGATTTCATGACTTGGAGTACTTCTTCCCAGCCCCTTCTTGCCTGTAAGGTGTCTTTTGAGAAATCAGCTGACAGTCTGATGGGAACTCCTTTGTAGGTGACTGTCCCCATATCTCTTGCTGCTTCTAGGATTCTCTCCTTCATTTTAATCTTGGCTAATGTAATGATGATGTGGCTTGGTGTGTTCCTTCTTGGGTCCAACTTCTTTGGGACTCTCTGAGCTTCCTGGATTTCCTGGAAGTCTATTTCCTTTGCCAGATTAGGGAAATTCTCCTTTATTATTTGTTCAAATAAGTTTTCCACTGGTGGCTGTTCCTCTTCCCCTCTGGTACCCCTATAATTCGGATGTTGTAACATTTAAAGATGTCCTGGAGGTTCCTAAGCCTCTCCTCAGTTTTTTGAATTCTTGTTTCTTCATCCTTTTCTGTTTGGTCATTTTTTTCCTGCTTCTGGTCCACTCTTTTGATTTGAGTCCCAGTTGCCTTTCCATTACCATTGGTTTCCTGTGCATTTCCCTACAATTCAGTTAGTTTAGGCTTCATGTGTTCCTCTAATTTGTGACTAAAATCAACCAGTTCTGTGAGCATCCTGATCACCAGTGTTTTGAACTGTGCATCTGAAAGTTTGGCTATTTCTTGGTCACTTAGACTTATTAGCTCTGGGGCTCTGAGTTGTTTTTGAGCCATGTTTTGATCTGTTCGTGCCTGTTAGGTATGAGGAATGGAGCCTTAAGTGTTCACCAGGGTGGGGCCACCCAGGTCACTGGTTTGTGATGCTGTATGTGGGGGCGGGGTCAGAAAGGGACAATGGCAGTCCCTTTTGCCACTTCCGGCCACTGGGGCCTGCGCGGTCCATCTCACTGCTGGCTCCTTCACCAGTTTATCTGCACTCGAATGTGTGACAGAGGTCAGCCCTCAGTGAGTCCACTGCCTTGCACCCTCAGTGGGTCTGCCCACTACTCCACACCTGGGATCCGCATATCGCTGCTGGCATGCCTGGGTTGGGCACCTGGGTGAGTCCGGTGGATCTTTCCTACCTGACCCCACTCTGCTGCTGGCTCTGCCCCTCTTACTGGTTTGGCTGAAGGGTTCGTTGTTGTCAGACTTCCATGTAGTTGAATTTTCTGTGGTTTGGCTGTGTTTTTGTTGCTAAAACTTTGTTGTTTTTAAACTTGGTTGTGCAAGAAGGTGCAGTGCTTCCACCTACGCCTCCATCTTGGCGGAAGTCTGTGCCATATGTTTTATTTATTTAAAGTTACAGAACTATAAATGCACAAAGTTCTATCTTCCCCATGATGGGTTCATAATCCTGAAATTCAAAAGTCTGAAAACTGAAAGTATTTTCATAATTCACTAGTAACAAAACCTGATGATCTGATATGGATCCACTTTGGTCTTAATTACTACAATTTCTTCAAATAGTCATACTTTTCAATGGTGAATTATTAATGTGTAAGGAGTGACACTGTAACACCACAGTGGAAGTAATCTAATATACATTATCTTCCTAAAAGCACCAAAAAACCTGTTGGATAATAAATTGAGGACCTATGTCCCCAAATCTACATTTTAAGACTGCACTGACTTGATTCTTCCCTGAATACTTGTTATCCATATAGAATAATAATTTGGGTAATTTTTATTTTTAAATTTTTAAGATTTTATGTATTTATTTTTAGAGAGGGGAAAGGGAGGGAGAAACAGTGTGAGACCCTTGAGCCCCCGCCCTGCTGGGAACCTGGCCCTGCAACCCAGGCATGTGCCCTGACTGGGAATCCAACCAGCAATCTTTTGGTTAACAGGCCCGTGCTCAATCCACTGAGCCACACCAGCCAGGGCTAATTTTTAAATTTTTGCCCCTTATTTATCAGCTACATCCCCAAACAGACTACACTTAAAACATAAGCTTGATGCAGGTAGGAACCTCTTCTGGTTTGTTTACTATATCACCAGCACCTGGAACAGTGAATATGGCATATTTTAGCACTCAGTACATAGAGAGAGGGAGGGAGGGAGAAAGGGAGGAAGGGAGGGAGGGAAGGAAGTTTTAAGGTCCCTATAGTTTGTAACATAACATTTGGTATGTAGAAAATGTTTCTCCTTTTTTTATAACATAAATTCATCTTGTGTTATAAATGAAAAACATATAAATTTTTTCTTATTGCATGTTAACTGTATTTCAGTATTAAGTGATTTTTAGTAAGCTTACTAAAATATCTTCTTTAATTCTATTTATTCATTTTTAGAGAGAGGTGAATAGAAGGAGAATGAGAGGGAGAGGATCATCAATGTGTGTTTGCCTGTCATGCACCCTGTACCAGGGATCTGGCCTGCAACCCAGGCATGTGCCCTAACTGGGAATCGAACTGGCAACCCCCTTGGTTCACAGCCCACACTCAATCCACTGAGCTACACCAGCCAGGGCACCTTACTAAAATATCTTAATACACTGGTAAAGTAGCTTCCAAATCATACCTTACACTTCTTCTACACTTCTATGTCTGTGCCATCAAAATTGGTCTAAAAAAAAAATCATGTTCACTAATCTCTTTACATTCCTGACCACTAACCCTAAGTGGCTCTTAGCACTGTAACACATTGCCTTTATTCACATCACTGCCACTCTTCTGGACAGGTATATCCTATCAACTCCACTCACTGATTTTGCTTCCAATCTGACGGCAATAGAAACAACCAGAAAAAAACTACCACTACCTCCTACCATTTATTTACACACTTGTCTGTATCTGCTTTCCTTCCTATAATAATACATAAATTGCCTCTACAACCAATCCCACCACTTGATGAATAAATCCTATCCTATTGCCTTGTAAAGAGTACTCTTTCTCCCAGACATCATCAGTTTCTCACCATTCCTCAAGATAATGCAATCAGCACAAAAACACTGTAATGGGGTGCTGAGCTAGAGGTCACCCCAAATGGAGAAAACCACCATAGCTATTGTTTGGGGGATAAGGGATGCAGAACAGGGCCAGTGAGAGCTACTCTGCATATCTAAAGACCTTGTCCAGTATTTTAGCAATGTAAAAAGCTGTGCCTGCTCCTAGCCAGAGATACAGGTGTGACTCTAACCTGATGCAATACAGCCAGAGGGGCTTGCTGCACCTGTGAGGCAGCTTGGAGGCAGATCCTGTGTCACAGGGCCATGCTTGCCAGGACTAACAATGGCATCCAAGACAGAAAGAAGAAACTGT